ACTTGATACTAGTATGATTAGCTTATAATTGTGGACATAATTGTTTACTTGCTATGATATAACTGAACAAGGACTGATACGACTTGATGTTAGGAAGAAAGTAAGACTATAGAAGAAGATCTATTTATGCACCAACCGAATATCCAGAACTAATTAATCGCTGGGAGCCTTGAAATATAGTGAATTCATATTACTCTACAAATCTTATTCTTCTTACTTGATTTAAATATATGATTTAATTAAGTGGTTATTAGTCAAGTTTTAATACACCAAATTGTTATTAATTGAAGTTAATTAATCAATAATTCGAATGTATGTACACATCAATAGACTAATGGATCTAATCAACAAATTGAGTTACAGATTTAGTGTTGTTTGGCATTATTACCTAGTGTTTTATCATTATCAATATTCAAGAAAGGACATAATACTTTTATCGCACGTTTCTATGGGATGAATAAAATTATTAGAAATCTGTTATTGTTGTGACGTGCAGTGTCTGAGAATTGATACAGATACTCAGTTTTCCTATATACGAGCACAATTAGGTACCCAACGGAAAAGACAATGTAGGTTGATAGATTTTTAGTAACTTATTGATGCTGTGCTTATCATAAGTCTACACAGTCACTGATTCAATCACTTCTGGGGTTGAATATGTTCAATGGTGTGAAAAGTTTCTAATTGAGATTGATTTTGAAGGTTTTACAAATTAAAAAAAAAACTGAAAAAGGGAGAGCACCTTATTTGAAAGGAATTAATTAATTTCATTAGTTGAGATCATGAGTCAATTGACGCTAGACCACCATGGAAAACCTAGAAGCACTAGACATCGTGGGATTGTGGATGCACACTGCTGAGGAGTCCCACAATAGGATAAAACGGCCGTCCAGTACTTCCAGGTTTTCCATGGTGGTCTAGCTTCAATTGACTCATGATCTCAACTATTGAAATTACTATAATATCCATATAAACCCCTTCTGATATTAATTAATTTATTGTTTGCTCAAAATAGTAATATTTTGTAGAAAAGCAACGATTAGCAACATAATTTTTGAAAATTTCAATCCAAACTTCAATTTATATGAAAAGTAATTAAGAATATATACTATAAGTGTAATACAGTACTGTGATTTAAAAAGAAAACTCGGCGTTTATCACTATGGGTTACCTCAGAGCATGTAAGAAAAGTAATTATTTCAATGGAAAATCATATACTACTTCTAAGGATTTTGTATTCTTCAAGATGGAATGTTTAACTATGAAACATTTATTTTCTTTCTAAACATCATTATCAATAGCTATTTCAAATGTAAATCAGTATTTTTGTAAATCATTTTATAAATATCAAATTAGTTTGTTCTAGTGACTTTGATAATGATTGGTTGTACTTATCGATTTCATTATCTCTATGTTTCTTTGCATTCCTGTAAGGTTAACTTATGAATTTTGTTACATAAGATTTTTGTGATCTGCTAAAATGCTGAAAATACTACTGGTATACTTGTTCATATTGAATGAAGAAAAACTGCTACTTGTTACTTGTTCAAAGGAATTAAACTAGTATGGCTCGATCCGAGGATGAGTGCAAGATTGCAAATGAACATGTTTTTATGCACTACACACTGACTCATAACTATGATCAAAAACCTAACCAAACAACACAGAAATACATAATGAATTAAATATCATTTTAAATGCCTGATTAGTAGATGAATTTTAATGTAACGAATTGGCCGTAGCTAACATAAATTAACCGATAATTTAATGAAAATATACAATTTACAAGATAAACAGATCAACTTGTGTAATTAGTAAATGTAACTAAATTACTGATTTATATATCTCACTTATTAAAACTTCCTCCGCTTTTGGTTAAATGAGTATGAGTAGGGTTTCCTGTAGATAAAACTCAATTTGAAATCTAAACCACCTTCTTGAATCCTTCATCATTTTGTAGAAATCAGGTCTGACTAAGTTTTTAACTTCTTAGATGTCAATTTAATAGCATGAACAAATTTACGGAAAACTGATCTGTGCCTTTCTATGGATGGATAGAAGACATTAGCTTTCTAACTTAATTACCTTTTATATTTATTCACATTGAAATTTTTATATGAAAAGTTATCTCTAGACTGAAACATACCATTTCAACACCATAAATATATTATTTGCTCTGAATAAATAAAAGTATTATGGCAACGTTTTAATAGGTAGACTTAAAAATAGAAACGTTTCTATCAACTACATTCCTATTATTTATCAGGAATTTAACATTATGCTTTAAGTTCATAATATGTATGCATTCAGCAGTCATATTTAGAAGAAATAATAATAATCCTTGCTCCCTACTTAACAAAAGATCTATGTACTCGTAACTAAAGGTGAGAGTGGAAATTCCTTTGTCAATGACAGTACTTCTGGGAGTCACTATCGTTCATTTTGTAGATAATGATGTCATTTTCAATTAGATTTCAACTGGTTCTTGAATATTTTCAGGAATCATTCTTAAAATTAGAAGTTATTACTGATTGTTTTATTTAGAGTAAATTATCGTTGAACAAGAAACATATCATCCGTCATTATGTGATGTAGGCTAATTATGTTGACAGATATAAATAGTATGTACCACTAATCAGAAGTGGAATACCTTCAAACAGAAGATTCAGAAGATTGAATTGAAGACACTAGAAAGAGAAACAGAGGGGAATTGGAAAATGAAGAAGTATGTACTGGACAACTGAAGGAAGACATGCTAATAATGTATTTAATAGATAATTTTCATATTTTATGAATTACTTTAAATAAACTTCAATCTACTGACTCAATACAATTAATAAGGTCAACATGAGAAATGAAGTAAACACCTCTTTAGTAACCCCATTTCAATTTTATTAAAGAAGAGGATGATTTTGCATATAATTTCTTTCAGATTTGAGACAGTCAGTTAGCTACAACGTAGGACCAGGCACATATATGCATCGGTCCAAATTGCCACACCTCATTAACACAACAAGGTGAACAACAAATTCATAGAAGCAGTTACTTCGGTGATAGTAATATATAAAAGAAAGATTGCATATAAGGATATAATACAGGGAGAAAAAATTACTTCGTAGAAAGGGAGGTATAAAGTAGTTTTAATCTCACGGTTTAAGGGAAGGCGAAGTGTGTATACACTTACGCCATTGTGATCGATCCTGAGCGATGTCACGCAGACCCCAACCAAGTAGTCTAACAAAATGGATCGAACAAAAATTTAGTGACTTCAAGGACTGATGCCACGTTTCTGTTTGACTGCCTATAACTTCCTTCCAGCCATCCCCAACACTAGTCAGCATTGTGCGTCGTAGTAATTGGTGTTCAGGCATACGTAACACATGACTCAGATTTGAGTCTGATTACTTTGAAAGATATAACCACCTGGGCGATATGTTCTTTGTTGTTGTTGTTGTTGAGACATTATGCTTACAATTAATAATGATAAATTTACCAACTTCTCTATTAATTTTTGTTATATTTTCTAATCAACTTTTCATTTTATAGAATTTAAACAATAGAAATGAAAATCAAATGGAAACACTAAATAGATAATAATGAAAATGATTAAATTCTCTAAAGATTCTTATTCATAATGTTTTTACAATTGAGAAAACAAATTCTTTTACAATCTATTGAAATATTTAAAAAAAAAGAAAAGAGAGAAAACGAAAGAAAGAAAACAAAAGAAAAGAAAGAAATAATAATAAAAATGAATTTTTCTTGTTAACAATATTTGGAAATTATTGAATAGAGTACTTTCTTTTCATCTTGTATTTTACAAATCTTTCTTAGGAAATAAAAGTTCAACTTTATTTGAATAATAATAATAATAATAAGATTATGTAATTTAATTTTACTGTTTTATTTATTCACACTTTATAAATATTAATTTCTTTAATTAACATTATGTTTATATTATTAATATAAAAATCATATTTAATATTAGGGTTTGAAATTTTTCTGTTATTGATTGATATTGAAAATTGAATTTTGATTGATTTTTATTCACACATATGTATCCTGTTTTTGAATTGTTTCTAAGTAGATAGTTTGTTATAAGTTATTTAGAATAAGTACATTTTTTTTGGCCTGCAATCGAACTTAGGATGAATGTTATTGTTTTATGTTCATAATTTGGGTAATATTAGCTAATTGTTTCTGTATTCTAATGCTAATGTTGACATGATACCCAATGAATAAGTCAGAAGCATTCCAGTATTCAATGGATGATGTTTTAGTTTTTAAAGTGAAAGGTATTGGATTGACGTCTTAATATGAATATTAGTAGTGGGATCGAAATACGAGCACTTGAAGAGTTCTAAAATAGCATGAAACCCAATTTTTTAAAATCACACTTTCAACTATGATCTATCTATTGTAAATAATATTCGAGTTCTTTTAATACAATTAATCTATATTTTGTTGAAAAAATTATGATCTCTATGTACAAAATTCTGTTTAAAACTGCTACGATTTTTTATATGTATAGGAACTTAAGAATTCTAACAATCCGTTCACACTTTGTAGACCCACTTACGATTAGTTTTCTAGTAAAATAAAAGTCAAGTTTTGATCTAATTTAATTAGGGACTTAAAAAAGAAGAGTATTTTAAATTCCGACAATTTTTATTGAGCCCTGAGCCCGGTTTTCATGTCAAGCATGAAATAATGAGATTTATCTGAAATCTTAAAGAAATGTGTACGATTTCTCAAACTTAAGTTCTTACCATCCAGTGTTACAGTCAATTATGCTTACCCTGAGCCTTTTGCGGTATAAGTTTTGAATAAGTTATCGATTAATGTATGAAGTTTATTTGCGATAAGGTTCAGGGTGTTTATTTAGACCAATCAGTTTGCTAATTGATATTATATTGTAATCAATACTAACAAATACAACATTAAAATTATCATTGCTTACTGTCATATTGTTTTATGAAGATTTCTTATTGCTATTTCAGCACGGAAAATTACTCCATCCATCAAAAAAAAGAAATGTGCTTAAAACGTGTGCAGAGAAAAAGGGTTTCTGATCATCGGGGAGTTTTAGCAGTCTGTCAGACTAAGGAAAATAGTTTGCTAATTTATTTCGAACTTTTATGAACTACTGAGTGAAAGTTAGTGATGCTTATTTATTTATTACTTATATTTCGAAGAAACTAATTACCATTGTCATAATTATTCAATTTTGTTAAGAACTTCGTTTATTGCTTTTGATCTGAATATCTCTGTTCTGGGTTGTGGTATTAGTGTAATAAAGCTGCTAGTAATACCAGTATTACGTAACAATTACTTTTTTATTTCAATCAGCAATAAAATAAACAGGATCTTCATAAAACTCAAAGGCGTTCCCAGTAATAAATAAACCAAACTTTTATTAAAACGATCATTCTGTTATCACGTAGCTAGGATCACTATGGACCTGGTCACTAACCCGCCGAAATAAGGTTTGGGGGATTCTATTAGCAGAACAGTTCAACATTTACTGCTGGTAATGGCACAGGTCAAATGTATATGCTCCAAACAAACTGAATCGAGACACTAGTGCAGTTCTCGCATGCCTCGGAAGTATTTCCTGTATTTGTTTAGATTATCTTAGTTTAGTCTTTTCTGAAATCACTTACAACGTTGTTTGAATGTTCAGTAAGTAGACAGGTTTCAATCCACTGAGTGGCATGTGTGATAAAGAACTTGTGACGTTGCAGTAGTTGCTACTTGTAGCTGGTCTCTAAAATCAAATTTTGCAACCTGCTTTGTAGTCCAAATGTGATATTTCTGATAAGCTAGTCATCCTACCGGACCATTTTACGGGACCTAACTCGCCCTCTGTTTTCAGAATCGATATACTGAATATGACAGAAGAATAGTTCATTAAGAGTTTCATGAGGCAATGAAATTAGTTTGTCTAGGAAAGTGTGATATTTGATCAGGTTATATGTATCTTTGTCAATTAATATGTAGGAAAAAATTGAATTTTTTACCATCTTTAATATTCCTGATAGTCATGTATCCAACTTCTTACTGTTTTAAACAGTCTTCGAAGGTTTCACGATCATAGTTAATATCCAATTGATCAAGATTTCGCTTCTTCCGGAAGCTAGTATGCAGTATTTTTATAAACTATCCAGTATGTGCTCTGGTAGTTGCGGTTGAATCAGCACTCATTCCAGAGACTAGGAATTAAGAACACTTCAAGGCTTCGTATTTTGAAACGCTCGGTCTTTCATGAGCTTCATATAGCCTAAGGGTCCATTGTGTGGTGAGAGAGTGTGACGAGCAGCGTTCATGAGAAAGTGTAGAAGAGAAGGGAACATGAGAGCTGACGGCTCAGTAAGCATACATGATGCAGATATATTTGAACATGAAAGCGATCACAATAATCTGCAATGACATGACCGTAATATAAAGAAAATCTGATAATCGAAGCTAGAAGTTGATAGAGTAAAGATTTAATTGCACTACATCTTGTTTTAAAAACCAGACGTAAAATAGAGTATGATGTAATTGTCATTACGTATGGAAACCAAAAATAACACATTATTTGAAGTCCGTGACATCTACGGCTTTATAATCAAATGAAAATAGCCACATAAATCATTTTGATCATCACAACCGTTTTGTCGCTGTCTCTTAGATGTCGCAGCCCAGTTCGTCGTTTTCCTGTCAATTCAGGAACTAATTAAGTTACCGGCGGGTTTCAGTGCTGTGGCAAGATCTATTTGTGCCTCAAAATAATGGTAAGCAATAAAGACAGACAGATGGCAAAACGTACCCGAACGGAATATGGAGGCTGCTACGGGAGACATCCAGCTTACATAATACCCCTTGTGGATCATGGGCCGTTTAAGTATTTAACTTACCACAAACTATTACTATGAATACCGATCTTTCCAATAGGTTCTGTGAGCATCTCTTTTACCCAACCTTTGAATTGGTATATGTATAACTTTGATTTTAAGCGCTTGGTTTTTTTCCTATCTTGATTTGTTAGTTTACATATTTGGTTCTGGAAACCAAAGGACTTAAGGTTTGTCATTAAGACTATTGTTAAAACTGCTTTTCAGAATTGGGTAATTATAACCTGCGATACAAAATAAATTTTAGCTATTTGGGAGATTACAGTTACACTTTTCTCACGTCTTACTGATTACCATTCGATAAATACACGTGTTTGCACAAACACCTCGTTCTGACTTTCCTGGGTATTGTCTTCTGACTTTTTACAAACAATCCCGTTGCACGCGTTTAAACTCATCATACATCATATCCCCGTGAACTACACAGGAACACTTCAGATTTATATCCGACATTCCTTGGAATTATTTTTCTTACATTATCATAATTGTGGATATATATTTAGACCCATGAACACGCAGTCTCCTTATATTAACAAGTAACTCATATATATTGTATACATTTGTCTTCCGTATCCTATTAACTCATTATTTTTATACGTCTTGGAGTACTAACTGAGTCCAGGTATTTTCATACCCGTATCGGCCCATCAGTACTCCACCTGAAACGCTCCTTGGGTCACTGTTGGCCTCAAGCCCGGATAAAAGAAAAGAGTTTGGAATGGGGTCAGCAACCTCATCCAATAGAAAACTACCTTGGTGAAAAAAACACTGATAAGAAAAAACAATCCAAACCATTTAAACTGTGAACGGGCACTTGAATGATCTTCATTCGAAAGGATTATGATGCCCCGTGGTGAAAGCGGAGATTCTTCAGACGTTATGAAGTTGATACCCCTTTCGACAACCAGAGCAACAGTTAATATATCTATGTGGAGCGCTCGGACAATGTGGAAGACCATGAGGACCAGCTATACAGCTGCACAGCTGAAGTGATACAACTCGGTGGTTCTTACTACGAGTGAAACCCATTGAACCCGAGCTGGACAGAAAATACCAGATTCAAGTGAGACTCTGTCGTACTCCAGCCATGAGGAAGAAAGTGCTTCTCACACACACAAAGAATTGTAGTGATGCTGCTTTAGGAGGCACGAAAATCACTTATATGATGGGAATCTTATAGATCCAGGGTTATCACAGTATTTGTCAAGACAAAGAAAGAAATGATGACAATGAGTTTTATCCAGTGTTATGCATTCATCAATGATAGTAATGACGACGATAAAGATCGGTTTTACGAGAAGCTTCAATCAATCACAACGAAGCGCCTATGAAAGGACCTGACGATCCTGATGGGAGATCTAAACACCAAAGTCGGAATGGACAACAACGGTTATGGATATATCATGGAATTACATGGACTGGGCTAGATGAAAGAAAATGAGGAGAGATTTACAAACCTGTATGCACTCAACAAATTGGTGAAAGGCGGTACAATATGCCGACACAAATGCATACAGTAAGCTACATGGATCTCGTCGGACCACACCACAGAAAATCAGATAGACCGTATTTTCATCAGTAAAACATTCATAAGGTCAGTGAAAGACGTGAGAATCAGGAGAGGAGCTGACATAGCTTCAGATCATCACTTGGTTGTGGCCAAGATGAAACTGAAGTTAAAAAAACACTGGGTAGCTGAGGAAACAGAATTACAGAGGCTCAATACAACCTTCCTTCGAGATACTGACAAGATCAACGAATTCAAGATAAGTTTCAACAACTGGTTCCAAGCTTTACAGGATCTACTCGAAGAAGGAGAAACTGCGATGGAGTTCGACTGGAAAGGGATCAAAGAAGCACTAACTTCAACGTGTTGGAAGGTGCTGGGTCGCAAGAAGCATTATGAGGAATGGATCCCTGTCGAAACCCTAAATAAGATTCAAGAAATGAAAGAAAAGACAGCAATTAACAACAGCCAAACGAGAACAAAGGATGTCAAGGCATAAGCTGAATGCACAGAAGCAAACGAGCAAGTGACGGAGAGCATTAGAGCCGATAAGCAGAAATATGTTGAAGAGCCAGCAACAACAGCGGAAAAAGCTGCAAGAGAAGCAAATATGAAGCAACTATATGATACAACGAAGAGACTAAGAGGGAAAAATACAGTAAACCAGAGAGACCAGTGAAGGACAAATATGGCAAGCCAATCACTGAGATTCGGTAGTTGAGGAAAAGACGGGTAGGACACGTTGAGGAACTCGTGAATGGACCAGCTTCATTGAATCCACCAGACATCGAAGCAACACACATAGACCGCCCTATAGATGTCACTCCAGAAACATTCGAAGAAATCAGGATGGCCACCAGACAAGTCAAGTGTAGGAAAGCAGCATGGTCAGTCAACATACCAGCTGAAGCACTGAAATCAGACGTAGAAGTAACTGCAAAGATACTCCACATTCTATTCAGGTGTCGGTTTTAACTACACAACCCTCAAAGTTGAACATGAGATAACCGGAAAAATGCTTATTAAGCGTCTAAACTGAGAGAAGGCCAGAAGTTGTGAATGGGGAACAATTAATCATCACGACGTGGCTGAGCCTTGATGATATGGCCATTCTTGTGTAACCCATACCGTTCCTTATTAATTATATTCGTCGTAAGTGCCAGATATCATAATGTTGATTGTCATGATATGACTTCCACGTAAGATCTCATAAATTAGGTAGTCACATCTACAATTTTGGGATTAGTGCCATTTTTAGATTAGCACTAATACCGAACTTGACCATTACTGTACAGAAGTGTCGACAGACTGGAAAGAAGGACATCTCATCAAGATACCAAATAATGGAAATCTGGGTAAATGTGAGAACTACAGAGGCCTCACACTACTGCCAGCACCAAGAAAGTTTTACAGCAGTGTGTTGCTGAGCCGGGTGAAAGACTCAGTAGACGCCCAATTTCGAGACCAACAAGCTGGATTCCCTATTGATCGGTTGTGCACTGACCAAATCGCGACACAACAGACCATTGCTAAACAATCAATTGAATGGAATTCATCACAATAAATCACTTTCCGTAATTATGAGAAAGCATTTGCCAGCGTGGATAGGGGGACCTTATGGAAATTTCTTCGAAACTGATGTGCCTGAGAAGATCGTCAACATCATCGAGAATAAATACGATGGACTACAGTTCAAAGCCGT